AATACAAAATTTCTTTTAAAATCAAATGATAATTTTATAAAGCCTCTAAATGATATTTGTACGTCTGGTAAAATATATCATATTCCAAGTGTTTGGACAGTCTATTCCTATAATAATATAACCATTTTATCTTAAAACGCCGAAAAACTATTTGTAAAGGAAATACCAAAAATCAAAGCACTGAGGAAAATCCAGATGAAGCAAAAATGCGACTTCCGGAGTAAGCCAACTTCTAGCAGGGAGGTGTTATAGTGTACAGTGTCACGAAGCCGCCAAGAACATAAACCTTTGCTTCCCGTAGATACAAGTGTCAGTTTGCTTAATAGACATTTTATAGTTTATTCACATTTGCACTTTTATAACATATTGTTTTATTTTCATTTTAATTACATTCAGTCTAGAATCCGATTTTGTTCATTAAACACCTTTATTTTGTAACACAGTTTTTATTTTAAATAAATTATTTTTTAAAAACTACCTTACGGCATTTTTGAATTTAAGTTATATAAATTGTCTAATTGAATAAAAAAATAATTATAACTCGTTTATATATAAAAAAAAATATTCAAAAATTAAAAAAAAAATAAATTACCACTCAATTAAGTCTTTTTATTTTTTTACGCTCACTCACACACTTGTTTTTTATCAAAATCCATCTCTCAAATAATGTTCGACCGATTTGCACACTATTGGACACTGGCACATCTCAATTCTGTTTCGGAAAGTTCCCTCTCGGTACTGACAGATGAGATGAACAGAATTCTTCTTTTTTCTTATTGACTCGGCCTGAATCACTTAAGTATTTTATCTTTCCCGAAGACAGTAGTCCACAAATAATCTAATTTCCCATGAATGTCCTTGGAAATCAAATAAATGTGACATCCTAGGTCCTCTCGGCATACCCAATTGATTGTGTTTGGGCAAACATCTTTTTCTAATCAGTTGGGATGGAAGAAGTTTTAAGATGACTGCACAGACACTAAATACCGGTGATCTGTGGGTAGAAGAAGAATTAGATAAATAATATAAATTATAAATATGCATGCAAATTTGCCATGCTTTTATGGTAATATTTAGGGTGTAAAAACTAAAAATAGTTTCAATTTAAAAGGAAGAGTTAAATTCGGGATGGTTCTCGAGAAAAAGAAATTCCTTGGAGAAGGTTTTAGTGCTGTAACTGCTTTTCCATTGTGAATCTGGTTGTTGTTTTTTGAAAAGAAATTGGTGACTAACTGCTATCCAGGATCCAGGTACCTGAGTAATAGGACCAGGTTACTAGGTCAGAAGAGTCCTGCTTATGTGCCATTTGTTGTGCATAGTCCTTCAGTGAACTTTTGCTTCCTCTAGTGGCAAGTGGAGAGATGTCCTTTCCGGGGTGTGTGGTGATACAATCATGCGTACATGAAACAAAAACAAAAAGAGTAAGTATAATTTAAGATTTGGTTTATCTTGTTATTTATTATCTAGTTAACCTAGGGTTTGTAATAATTTTATAACAACCCAAAAAAAAATTCCTACATCTAAGTACAGCCCAAAAAATGTTTGCAATAAAAGTATCTTTATTGTACTTAGATAATAGATTATTCCCCCTTAACATGGACACAATATAAGTTCTGATACAAAAGTTTAATTTAAAAAGTGAATGTACAGTAATATGATTTAGTTTTGATAAAAGAGTTAAAAAATGATGTATTGGCAAGTGTTTTCGTACTACCTTTAGTTAGTACCCAATTGTTTTCATTTAAACAATTTTAGACTTTATGTTCAAAATATTTTTAAAGTTGTAGGTGGTTATTTTTATTTTCTAATGCTATATATTATTTATTTGAGGAATAATTGTGACAATATTTAACACTGAAGTTTCTTTCGTTTTTAATCATTTTTCTCATAACATTGTCCGGAGTTATTTCAATTTCGTCGGCCTCGTCTTCGTTTCTGATTTCTACATTTATGTGCTCTCTAATACTTGTCCATCTCGGGCATTTGAAAACGGTGTGCTCCGGCGTATCTTTCTCCGCAGTATCTGCATAGGTCGTCAGCAGTTTTCCTTATTTTGAGCGTGTATGTTTTAAACTAGCCGTGTCCACCGAGGAACTGGGTGAAGAAATAGTCCGTTCTTCTGTGTTTACAGGCCACCCATGGTCTTAAGTCTGGGATCAGTCTCTTGAGCCATTGAGCAGTGTTTGTGTTAGCTCTCCATATCTCCTGCCATCTTTCTATGAATCTCGTTTTATGTTCTTTTTAGTAGCTGGTAAGTGTCCCATCCCGCTCTCGAATAGCACTTTTCGTTCTCTGACTAGGATTTTGACTGGCGAAATACCCATAATTAACTGTACCGCCGCAGCCGATATCGTGCGGTATGCACTACAGACTCTAATTAGGGCCGTTATTTGTGTTTTTGTGAGCATGTCCTCATATCACTGTATGTCTGTGACCTTGTACCAGATCGGTGCGCCGTATAGATTGCACTATGCCATAAAGTAGCCTTCTTTTGAGATAACTAGGGCCTCCTAGGTTAGGCATGATCTTCGATATCTTTGTCAGTCTTCTGCCTTCGTGACTGCTGCCTTTATGTGTTCTCTATAGTATCCCTAGTTATCTAGATGTATTCCCAGGTACTTCAGAGTCTTTTTTGGGGTTATTTCCTTCCCCCGGATAGAGAGTTTGATGCTGTCTCTCATTTTTTGTGGGCCTTCCAGTATGATCACCTCCGTTTTTTCCGTTGCGAACACTAGATCCTGATCATCCAGCCTAGTTCTTATTTTTTCTAGGGCCTTGTTTCCTTTCTGCATGAGCCCTTCAGCACTATTTGATTCTATGTATATAGCTAGATTGTCCTCGAGTTTTATATTGAGTACGTCATCATATAAGATGTTCCACAGGGTCGGTCCTAGGACCGAACCCTATGGGACCCCTGTAGTCATCTTTTTTTTAGTTCTTTTCCCCACGAAATAGTTTTGTTACTGCGATTAGGTATTTCGGAACATTTTTTCTTTTCATGGCTGCTTCAATTATACCCTTTCAGGAAGCGCTGTTGAAGGCGTTTTTAAAGTCGAGTGCCACGAGGATCTTCCATCTGCTTCTGGAGCTTTTTTTGGCTTCATGTATCCATTTCTCCGCGTGTATCGTAGACTTGCCTTTTCTGAAACCGAATTGACGGTTTGAGAGTTTTTCTCCGCTTTCGAGGTCTTCCACAATTCGGTTCCTAATTAAGGTTTCGTAGACCTTTCCTATCTCATTAAATAGGCATATGGGCCTATACGAGGAGTTTTCCTCCGCTGGTTTGCCTGTCTTCAGAATGAGCGATACCCTGGCTTCTTTCCAATTCGAAGGGATTTTCGCCTCCGGGGGGGTGCCATCTGGTTTTCCGTTTTTTCATTCTCAACATTGCTTCTTGAATTTCTTTATGTGTAAATAAGGGGATATTTTTGTCTTCCTTTGACAATGTCGTCTACGTGTCCTCTCTGTCCTGGAAGAGGTGATTGATTATTTCGGTCTTCCTTTTGTCAGGTTATATGGCATCACACTTAGTTCTTTAGCGACAATTTGATATCCTTGGCCCGATATGTGACATTCTAGATCATCGCAGATTTTCCCATTTTTTCTTTTTTGACGTCAAGATTGCTTTTTTGAGTTCTTTTCTCTGGGTCTTAAGAGAGTTCCTTAACTGCGTTTTTTCTTCGTTTTCTGCTTTGTGTTTTGTTATACGTCTTCTGGTTTCAAGACATATCTTCCTTTTCTCTTCAATTTCAATACTCCACCAGTACGGCATTGGTCTGCTGTTTGTTGTGTACGTGGTCGATTCTTTGACTATTTTTTCTAAGTTGCGCGTAAGGGTTTCCCATTTTACGTTGTCCCCCGATTTTTCTCATTTTACAGCTTTGTTTTGAGTTTAGGATTTTCTTGAGGCCTGTGTTCGGACGGTCGACTTTTATTTCCACTGAAAATGTTATTGGCCTGTGGTGAGAGGCTATTTCGTCATCCAGGGTCGTCCAATGTTTTATTTTTTGATAGATTTTTGAGGTGGCGCACGTTACATCTCATGCATTTCATAGTGCCGGTCTGATCTCCCTCAACGTTGCATGTTTGACATACTATTTTATTTTCGATTGGGCAATCCCTGGCGATATGCCCCTTTTCCCCGCAGCGCCTACAGTCGCCAAATCGGGCCTCTTCTTTGTAGTCATCGGGAGATATTTATCTTCTCCTCTACTATGCAGCTGATCCATCCTACTTTTATTTTGCCCATTTTTGACATTTTTTCGCCACTTCATGATCTACTTCTACCGTGGCGTTTTGCGTATCTCTCCACGCGGGTCCTAGCGATATTATGGGTATCTCTTCTGGTTTTTCTCCAGTTTGAGATGTTATCGTCTCTTGGAGGCATTCCTTATTCGTAAGGTCATCCAGGATCCTGATATGTAAGATTTTTGTTCGGTTTACTCCCTTGGCTATAATGTCCGTCTTGGTCATTGTCTGTGTTATCGACTCATTCATTTTTGTCGCAGCCTCTCTTCCTCCCTCGACTGAGAGAACTAGGTTTCCGTCCTTGTTTTTAGTGGCCCTGTTCACCTCCAGTTGGTTATTGGACTTTTTGATACCTTCCTTGACTTCTCTAAGCAGGTCCGCGTATGTTCTATCGCCTGCCTTTAATATGACCACTCCGTTTTCCCCTAGTTCTTTTTTCCCTATTTTCCGTCTTCTTCAGTTCTGTAGAGATTAACTTTTATTTCTGTATCTCTTAGGCAGTAATCCAATATTTTCCAGGTTTTCTCGGTGTCCATGTGTTCGGGCACGGCTATGGCTAGATTTTTGTTTCGTCCTTATTTATTTTGCGTACCACCAAGGTTTGGGCGCAGTCCAAAAAGGCCTTTGGTCCGTTTTTTTCATCTTTTTTAGTTCCCGCGGTTACCTTATAGACGTATCTTATTCTTGTTTTGGTCTCTTTACCGTCCGGTATTCAAGTGCTGACAACTATAACTTCTACTTTGCACGTTTCGTCACTTGTTCCTGATAACTCCCCGAGTTCGGGAAATCTGTCTGAATTTTCTGGGTAAACCCTTTTCCATTTTGTGGTCCTCCGTATAGATGGCGAGGTCTCCCCCCGATCCTAGGGGGTTCCCGCTGATGACCCTTGTATTTTGGAAGGCTTGCTCTGCTAGGGTCTGGAACAATTTCTCTTCGTATGGTTTTGTGATTTCCTCTCTTATTTCCTGTACCGTCCTAGCCTCCTCCATAGCCTTTAATTCATTTAGAAACTCTTCGTTTATCTCCACCTGTATCCCTATTTCACGTGTTTCTACTTCTGCTTTATATGCTTGTGGGTCCGTCTGCGTACTCATCTTTGTTGCGTGTTCCTTCCAGTCAGTTTGGACGTCGACGTCGTATGGTGCCTTTGGCACTGATTCCATCCTATTTTTATCCAACCATGTTTTTACTGATATTCTGTTAAAGATGTTCGAGTTTTTTTTTTTTTTCAATTTCTTAGCTAGCTCCTTAATCTTTTTTTGAGTATTGGGGATTTCGCTCATCAAAATCTCCAAGTCTTTTACGAGTTTTTAATTCATTTCTATCGCCTCTATTATGGTGAAGGTTTCTGGGCTCTCCTTTTTGTTATAAATTCTTCCGATGGTGTTTCCATACATTGCAATATTCCATTGTCACGTTGGGCTCCAATTTGCAATATTGATTGTTACTTTTTTGATAAATGTTAATTTCAAAACACTTATAGAGATTTTACTATCTCAGTGAAATTTAATATCAAACGTTACTTAACTTTAAAAATTAAAAAAAATAAATAAGCACATCCTTTTCTCTGTCGTGAATTCGGCTTTTCAAATAGACAATTTCAAGGGTAGTTATCTTTCTAGGAAATGTTGGGCACCAATAATTCTCTTTTTTATTTTTAAAAGCTAGTGAGAATTATAATTTCTAGCTTTATCAATAAAAAGAAGTTAATAAAAATTATACAGAATTTAGTGAATGAAAGAGAATTTTTTGTGACCTTTAAAAAATAATATTCAACATATATACTTATAAAAATTAATGATTTTATTTAAAAAAAGAAACCTTTTCGAAAACAAATTATTCACAGTTATCAAATTGTGATTCGTACATAAATAATTCTAGTCACTAGTAATTACCACATTTTACTTTGTTAGCTAACCACTTCTAGATAGCCATAGGTAGTTGAGATTTCTGTCCCTCGGAAACCAATGCCTTTGTCGGTTAATCTTTCTTCTTATGAAGCTTCGAATTGTAGCTGTCGCTTTTCCAATCAACTAACTTTTCACAAGAGATTTCTGCTCCTCGAGAACCAACGTTCAGATTACAGCGGTTGAATTATGGCTTTATGACGTTATGGCTTATATCGTTATGGCTTATGGCTGATTCCATTCGTTTGCTAGACAAAAATAGATTTTGTTTTTCACGTGGTTCTGTACGATATATAAATTTGAAACATCTACTTTTTAAAAAAAAAATGAACCAATCAGATAATAAAAACTAGTGACTATACATATTGTGCCGTTCTAGCAACCAGAATGAATCATAAAAATATATTTAACTTTACTATTAAAAAACTAATAATTAACAAAAGGTTTGAATAATATTTCTACTGAAATATTTAATAAAGACATTATATACTTTTTATGCTTACCACTTTAACAGCCAATGCACCACCGATATGATCAAAAGGTAATAATAAAATGAAATTTACAAATCTAATTTGAGATCGTTTGGTTAGTGGTACTCCCACTTCAAGAAATTTCCCATTCTTTAGAATATTGTGTGTTGGCGATAATTAAATTATACCGGATGGCACACATTTAAAATAACATTTTATAATTAGACTTTTAAAATGTTACAACATTCTCTCTTTTTGTTTGATTCGATAACCGAATTACATCTCTGCAGGTTTCCGAATAGATTTAGCCGGCTGTGTGGTGCTGGTTTTTCGTTTATCTTACTCATTTGTGTAGTGAGGAGACCTCGCGGCCTTGGCTCAGATGCTCCTTCTTCCATGCTTAACCTAACATAACTTTTTTTTTAGATGAGGAACCTCATGGCTTTCCCAGCGCTTAGTTGGTCTATCGCGACTGGGAGTGTGGGACTCAGGATCTCTAGCTCTTGCTAGAGTAGTGCAAACCCTGCCTACCGCACCAAACCTCACCCCTTTACCTGACCACTCGGCACATCTTTCGACTTTCATTCGAGTTGTCAGGTTGTCCTTTTTTTTCTCTTTTATCTTGCCTGTTCCTGTCTCTCGTCTGTTTCCTTAGTCCTCATTATTTTTGTAATCATTTCATGTACTACCTTTCATAAGATTTCATCTGCTGTAATGATTCTTAGGGTATTCTCTGGACTTAGCACTTCCCCGATTTGTATATTTGTTTGTTGCCGATATCTCTCCCACCGATTGTATGTTCTGCCGTATCAATTTCGCCACAATACAGTCTTCTTCTTCCGACTTTCCTATTCTTTTGGTGTAGGTCTTGTATGACCCATGCCCTGTAAGGACATGGCTGAGGAAATAGTATATCTCTCTGTGTGGACAGTTATACCATCTCCTGATGTCCAGGATTAGAATCTTCGTCCACTGTCCATCTGTTTCGTTGGATTGCCATTCCTCCTGCCATTTTACTAGACTTATTTTCCTTTCAGCCCGTCTGTTTATTTCTAGGTGTCCGTTCTCCCTATTGTATTGTCTTCTTCTTTCGTCTACCTGTATGTGTATGGGTATGACTCCAAACACCACTTGGAGTGCTCTCAGGGATACCGTTTGATATGCGCTAGCTATTCTGAGAGCTGCCTTTCTCTGTACTCTCTCTATCTTTTGTCTATATGCCTTCACCCTAAGTGCCTCACTCCAGATCGGTGCCCCGTAAAGGAGTATCAAGTGGGCTACGTTACTAAGCAGCTCCCTTTTTTGCTTGTCGGTCCTCCAATGTTTGGCATTAACTTGCTAAGTGTTCTTATTTTACTTTTTGCCTTCCTCGAAACATTTTCTATGTGTTTTCCATATGTCCCCAAGTCATCGAGCGTGATGCCGAGGTACTTGACTTCTGTTTTGGGTTTGATAGTCGCCTCCCCCAATTTAAACCTCGTTTCCAACCTCTTCTCCCTATATCCGTGTCCCCAGATGACTAACGCCTCCGTTTTCTCTGGGGCTAGTTTCAGTTCATTTTGCCTCATCCATTCGTCTATTCTCCATAATGCCTAGTTTGTCTTATGTTCCAGTTCCTCTTTATCCCTTGCTCTGACAATGATGGCTAGATCGTCTGCAAATCCGATGGCTCTCACTCCTTCCGGTTATTCGAGTCTCAAAACCCCGTCGTACAATATCAGCCACAGAGTCGGTCCTAGCACCGACCCCTGTGGTACTCCTGCAGGATCCAATTTTCGTAAGTTGTTGCAGTACTTCAAACTCATTTTCCAGATGTTCTAATTCTGGATACCTTTCCTTATAGAGCCTCTGGATACCTTGATCCATGTTTGTGTCCTCTGATTCGACAATAACAGTTTTCACCTCTTCATTTGTGTTTAGAGGATTTTCCACTACAATATCGGTGTTTTTGAATATCTTAGCGTCCCATGTTTTGTCCTGAACCGTGTTCCACTTTTCAAGATTGTCTATTCCCTCTATGGTACTTATAGAGTCACATTCTATAAGGTTCCATGGTGTTTGGGTTTCTACTTCAGCAGTTTTCCTCTTTTCTGTTTGTACATCCACATCAAAGGAAAGTTTTTCAATTTGTTCGTAGCTATTGTCTTCCAACCATTTCTTTATTGACTGCTGGTTCAGCACTTCCTTTTGCCTGCTGAGTCTCGCCACCACTTCTTTTATTCCCTTATGCGTATTTGGGACGTCTGCAATTAGTTTTTCCAGTTCTGTACAATGTTTATTTATCATTCCTAAAGTTTCAATTACAGTAAAGGCCATTGGACTTTCTATACTTTTTTAGGGTTCGTCTGTAATATCAATTGTCTCCGTAGACGTATCTCCGATCTTTCTTTTCTTATTGGCTTCTGCTTGGCCGCTAAAAGAGTTGCATCTTGGGGATCTGTTTCTTCCGTTTTGCCTACTATGTTTCGGCATTGCATGTTCCTCCTTTTTGTCTGTTGTTTCAGTAAGTGTAATCGCGCTAGCCTGGTCCTCCACTGTCGCGATTGTTTGATTTGCGCTATTGGTATTCATGTATGGTCCCACGAGTAGTTAGGGAAAAGCTGTCGACTCCTGCAGAGCCCCGCATGCAGAAGTAAGGCTTCTTATTCCGGGGTTTCGCCAGTTGCCCTGGAGGCATCGTTTATGGCCGCGTCCGTGCGGCCACGCATCCCTCGGCACGATTGCTTCCACCTTGGATTTCGGCTTTTTTTACGGCTGGTCTGATCCATCCTGGTTTTCTGTCAGAGTTTTCTTTCCCTTAGCCGATGGGTCCCCGTTTTATGGCGCTGTGAACTCGCCATTCGCCCTCCCATTTTAGGGTCGGACTTGCCGGTTTGCTTTTGTTAGCTGGGCTGATGTTCTTGAACTGGTACTTATTGGTGTCACCTAGTCGGCATCAGTGACCCCACCAGTGCTCCACCGACCATTTAGAGCTGTTTGTCGGCTTCACTACCCATTCCCGTCCCGTAGGGCTCGAGAACAGGGAGCTACTGAACCACTCCACCAACGGTAAGGTCTTACAGCTCCTAGGAGTGGAACCTAACCTAACCGGAGACCGACCTACTAGAGTTCAGTGAGGGTATTCATCAGTACTTTTAAGTCGTCAAGAACTTAACGGGGGTCAAGCCTAGACAAGACCTAAAATATATCGTTTTTTACCCTTCGGGTGAGAAACGTTGTTTATTTTAGGGTCTGTGACGTCGGCTTGGCCCTTATGAGAAGTGTTTGGTTTTTGGCGACGCAGGATAGCGTACTGTGATAATTTATTTATACCATTAAATGTTTAAATCCTAATAATTTTATTAAAATTTTTAATAAACACTAACCTGATAAACATTGAAAAACAGAACTACTCATTTGACTAAGGTAACATATTTGCTAACTAAATAGGAACAAACATGTTTTCAGTCAAAATTTCTCTGCTGCCTCTATCCGAGGATGATTTGATATCTTTATATAAAACTTAAAGAAGTTATCTGTTCCTCTCCAGTTTCCACTGTGCAAAACAAAATCTATGGGAGGATGCGACTGCTGATCTTATGCTTTCTGGGGATGAACCAATATCGGCCGCAATAAAGGCTGTCTTTATAGAACCAGAATTAACTGACCTGGAAGCTGGACTCACCTGACCTCTCGTAGTTATTTATTTATTTATTTATTTATTTATTAAATACACTATTCTACAAGTAATACCCAATTACAGAATAGGAAAATATGACAAAAATATTTAGACGAAACGTACAAAAATGAAAAATATTACAAGAAATAAAGTACAATGATGGTTATCCTAAATAATGCCTTTTGATATCCTGAATACTAATGTGGAATATATCCAATTCCTGACTTATCTGATTGTAATTATTACACATATTATACAACGGTGAGTTCATTAAAATATTAGTACGAGGTGTTGGTAAGTAAAATGAGTCAGTATATCTTGAGGCTAGACGTGAAACTTTTAAATTAAGCATGTGTAATAGACATTCGCAGTTTATTTGATTGCTTATGACCTTATGCAGCATAATTACAGAAAAATATTTTCGCCTTATATCGAGACTTGAAAATCCATGTTTATTTAATAAGGCGTCGTGTGGGGTGCCAATGGGTGGATAAACTAGATCATGTCTAAAACTTAAGTATTTTAGAAATCGTCTCTGAATTCCTTCCAAACGACCAATGTGTACTTGATACAATGGACTCCATATAAGTGACGCGTATTCAAGCTTTGATCGAACAAAAGCATAATACAGACATTTTATGGTATCTACTTTCTTAAAATCACGACTGTTTCTGATTATGAATCCATATGTACGATTAGATGAGGATGCAATACTATCGACATGGTCAGTAAAAGAAAGTGCTGAATCAAATAGGACTCCTAAATCGGCGAAGTTTTTTGGTCTGTTTAAGGGAGTTTCATCAACAATATACTGATAAAAAGTTGGATCTGACTTTAAGGAGTACGACATTACATTACACTTGGCTGGGTTTAATTTTAAATTATTTCTATGGCACCATTCATTAACTCGTTTTAGATTTTCAGAAAGTCGCTCGCAGTCAGCAATACTATTTATGGAAGCATAAATTTTAAGGTCATCAGCATACAGTAGATAATTAACATTAATTACACTACCAATGTCATTTATAAAAATATTAAATAAGAGTGGGCCAAGATTCGACCCTTGAGGGACACCCGATGTGGCAAGGTACTTAACAGACTTGAACCCATTGAGCTGAACGTATTGTGAACGGTTACACAAATATGATTTTAGTAAGTCAATAAGACTATCCGAGAGTCCAAGAGCAGACAGTTTTTTTACTAAAATTCCATGGTCAAGTCTGTCAAATGCTTTAGTCATATCTGTATAAATAACATCAGTCTGAATACGTTTATCGATATTTTCTGCTATATGCTGAGTAATGACTGAGAGATTCGTTACTGTTGATCGACCTTTTACAAATCCATGTTGTTGAGTGGATAACGCATTCCTTATATGTTGATAAATACTGCGTTCCAGTAATATTTCTAATACTTTACAAAAATTGCAAATAATAGAAATAGGTCGGTAGTTCTTAATGTCAGTTCGATTTCCATTTTTAAAAATCGGACATACTTTAGAGCTCTTCCACATGGACGGAATAGTACTAGAACGGATGCAAATATTGATCAGGATTGTCAGAGGATAAGCGAGTACTTGGGCACAATCTTTCAAAATGAATGCAGGAATATGGTCGGGTCCCGTAGTAGGCTTAGGTTTTATAGATTTTAATGTGTCAAGTACCTGGCTTTCGTCAAAACTGTCAATATTTAAACAAGTTGATTGAAGTTCATTCACATCAACATGAGAAACTTTAGAATGAACGTAGGACTTGCTAAAAAGATCAGCAAAACTATTTAGTATGTCAGCAGGATTATCCAGTGTATTATTTTCATAGGTCATGTTATTAGCAACTTTACTAGAACTTTTTCTACTGTTGACGTAGGCCCAAAACTTGTTAGAGTTAATAGATATATCATTCTCTGCTTTTAACAGATAATTTTCATGTGCCGTTTTAATTGCAATTTTAACTTCAGCTCTTATGCGCTTAAATTTTTCGAAAGCCCTGATATCATTGTCTTTTTTATATTGACGCCAAAATTTTGATTTTTCTCTTATTTTTTTAATGATACTGGGATTAAACCAAGGAGGATATGTTTTTTTATTATGCGCTGAATAATTGGGTACGCAACGATCTAACACATTATACAACTTTCCATAAAAATATGTACATGCATCATCGGCACTATAAAAGCTTTCTAAAAAAGTCCAGTCACTATTTGATATCATATTATACATAAGTGGAAAATTTGCCTTACGAAAATTATAACAATTTGTATAAGAAGATTCTAGGTTATTTTTGTTGTCAAGTTTTTCCATTAATTCACAACTGATATCTAAAGCTGGATGATGGTTATCTTCGGTTACTAAGGGATCTAAGGATTTCTCAACAATACAGCGGCCGTTGTAAAATACCAAATCTAAAAGTTTATTAAATTTATTGAAAACAAAATTATTTTGTGTTAGATCTGTGACATCAACGAAATTATTTAAAACTGTTAGCTTATAGCTAGTTTGTGGGATAGAAAGAGATAAAACGTAATCGGCGATATTAAAATCACCAAGGATTAGAATTTTACCACCATACAAAAAGTTCAATGATTCCAGTGACTCAAAAAGGCTTTCGAATTCATCTCGAGGCGTTTTTGGTGGTATATATAAATTGCACAAATATATATGCGTAAACTTAAATTTAATTTTTATCAAAAGGCAGTCTACAAAGTTGAAAACGGGGAAAGAATATTCCTGAAGATTTATCATGGTAGAGACGTATTCTTCATGGATCGCAATCAGCACTCCACCACCCCTTGTTTTATCGCTTACTGAAAAATTTCTGACAGATCTAAAAACATTAAATTCTGTACTAAATAATTCCGAGTTGATTATTGACGAATCCAGCCAAGTTTCAGTTAAGGCAAAAATTTTACAATTACTTTGAACAACAGAGTTAAAAACTTCTGTTGTTTTTGTTCTAAGGCCGCGAGTATTCTGATAAAGGATTGATAGTTGGTTTTCATTATCGTTAGAATCTGACTTGATCTGAAATGAGTTTACCGGGGTCAGTAGAAAATTAGTCTGTAGTTGCTATTCAAGTCCGAGGTTAGATTTAAGTTTATTCAGAGTATCGATATAAGCCGAACATTTGTCCCTATCCCATACAGCATGATCAGTCATTATAACTGGATTTTTAATTTTACGCAATTGGAGCAATCTTTACTCTTAGATTTGCAGTCTTTTAGGTCGTGACCCTCACCACAAATTGGACAAGATACGAGTTTAGTGCATCTTTGTGCAGAATGGTTAAACTCATTGCATTTGAAACACCTGTACACTTCAAGTGCATCATACACAATGCAGCTGTCATAAGCAACAAATAAATTTCCTGTTTTTAGTGCCCGATCATACACTGACTTATCTACCTGTACAATAGCTTGAAATATATTAGGATTTTTTTTAGTTGGAAAGATTTTTACAATTTTAACTTCACAATTTTCAGAAATAATGTTTGTGTTACATGTAACAAGATAATTATAAAGATCCTCTGTTGAGTAGTTAACGGTCATGCCAACGATACGTATTTTTTGAAGAATACCACCGATTTCTCTGATACTGTATCCGCTTGACATTTTCTCTTGAACAATAGTCTTCAACTTTTCATTATCTGACTTGGTTTTGCAG